GGGCAGAAGTAAGATTAGGCACGTCTCCAACTTCACGGATAGCATGGTTTAGTGAACCTGAGTTCACGAAAGCTTGTGCTCTATCTATCTCATGTAGTCTATATCTGTATATCGATATCTAGATATAGATGTCCATCTATCCATATCCATATCTATCTTATGTAGTTAGTCTGTAAGGCTCAAATCTGCCCTGCCTTCTTTGGAATAGCTTAGCAATGTCTGCAAATAATTGCTTTTGCCCGAATCGTGGAAAATGAGGGCTAGAACGGACCTCAGGAGGTCACATCTAGTCCGACCCCCTGCTCCAAGCAGGACCAGACCCAACTACATCATCCCAGCCAAGGCTTTGTCTACCCGGGTCTTCAAAACCTCCAAGGATGGAGACTCTCCCACCTCTCTGGGGAGCCTTTTCCAATGTTTTACTACCCTTCTCATATCCAACCTAAACTTCCCTTGCTGCAATTTGAACCCATTGCTCCTTGACATTTCTCTTATCAATTTGTGCGAGCAGCGGTCAAATCCCTGAGTGTATTAGCAAGGGACGGAGCTATGCAGATGATTAGCAGACTTGCTGCACATTCAATTAATATATCAGAAAGTAGTCTTGCACATAGTAGTCTACAGTCCTATCAGAAACCTAGGCTCCATGTTCACCCAGTTTTATAACACAACCTTGCAAGGACCAAACCCAGCCTACTGGAGGGTAAGAGGATAAAGCATTAGTGCTGCCAGCATTTGCAATACTCTGAAAACCCCATAACACTGGATGGTTTCCTTGACTCCTTCAGCTTGGGACATTAAAGGGATTGCATTTACATTTCAGCTCTTTCTACGGGGAGTGAAGAGAGAGATAACCACCCCCCACACCTCATCACAAACCATCTTGTGACTCGATCAGTCATTTGTAAGAGCCCGAGCTTCGGCAACGCTGTTAACTCGAGTTCACCTCCGCTCGTTGCTTTAATTTTTGATTTTCCGATGCAATCGGTCTACTCTGCAAGGCAACTGGTTCTGCTAGTGACAGGCAATTGCCAAATCCTCCGCAGGGAAGGTCTGGGCGCTTTGTCCAAGTGGGTGGGACAGCGGCGCACGGTTCTTCTTTGTGCAGAAATCAAGTCTTAGGCACAGCGCCTCTGAAACATCGCCTTTTCTTCAGAAGTGGGAGGCGATGCAGCTACCTGGGAATTCGCCGAGCGCACATATCCCACAATAAGTGACACATCATTTGCAGCCGATTACAGCTTCACCTTAATTGGAAGGGCTCTCACACATACTTAATGATACACCCTTGTCTTCCCATGACACAGTCAACCCTGACACCATGTGCTCCTTGAGTTTCCTTTCTCTAGATTTTTTGCTTTCCCACGAGTGCCAACTTGCTCTCCGTAGCAAAGAATTGCTTCCCCTCCTCAGGAAAACCCAATGAGATTCCCCCCCCCTAAAATCTGTATAGTTAGGTTACTCGTTTAACTCATGTTCTCAAGCAATTAAAACAAATGCAACAAGAGTCACACAAGTCCTCTACAATCTACTCTCAATTTGTCACCCTTCATGATCCCGATGCTGAATACAAGTGAGCAGCAAACTTGATTAGACAGCATGTTTTTTCTGGAATTACTTAAAGGCAGGAAAGATTTCAGAGACGGGAAGAAAAAAAATTAGCAAGATGAACCAAGCGGGAGCCGCTTTTCTAGACACACGGAGCACCGTTTTCATCTCATGGTGAGATTTCAAGTCAACCTTCATGCAAGAAGCACACCTGGGTCGATCCTCTTAGTAAGAGACTGGGGAGAAGGCAACTTTATTTCTGTCCCTATTTCCATCCCAGCTGTAGCAGCAGCTGGAAATGGATTCCTATCCTAGCAGGGAAAGGTCCACAGCTGGCTCGGACACGCATTTGCAAGACGTGGGCTAGCAGCCTTCAGGAGGAAGCTGCTTACCGAAAACATCATCTAAAAGGCACAAAAGCATGCACATCCCAGTGAAAAACCAACCGCAGTTGGGCAAGTCATCCTACTTGCAGCTGAAGTGGGAAGGCATCATTCTGCAAGTGGCAGGCAGATGGACTCAGTGACCCGTCAGCCCTTTGACACCTTGCTTTTCTACACCTCACCCTTCCAAGCAGCTTCTTCCCCTCCTGGAAGAAGAGTCATAAAATAGCTGTCAAACCCACACCCGTCGCTCCTGGGAGCTAATCTAGTGACTCAAGACCCGATGAGAACGGCTCCTTGATGCCCTGACGTCAATCAACATCCCCGATCCCAGCAGGACAAGGTGGCTCACCTGCTCCCAAACTGGGGGTGAGCAGGACACAGTGACCTGGCTCCTTTTCCCAAGGTTGCTGCCCTGGGGAGCCACAAGAGAAAGCCAGAAACAGGGCTTGAGAGACTTAAGAGTCTTAATAAGGGTGGGGCCATACAGTAATTAAACTTTTTTAATAGGTCATTGTAAGCGCAAGAGACTCTTCCAGTCAGGTAAGTTCCCAAGCTGTCATTAAAGAGAAAGGAGATGACAGGCATTAATCACAGCACAAGAAGTCACATCAAGCAAAGGGGGAAGGGCAAGTGATTTAACAAGGAGTCCAAAAGCCCTTGCATTACAGAAGTATGGAGCAACCACCTGCTCTTGCATCAACCACTTGGGTACATTTCCCTATTTCTAAGGGCAGCGAAGGAAGCCTCCGGTCCTCCTCTACCCGCCCCTGTAGTAAAGCAGCCATGCACACGCGCTACCTATTCAAACGCCCATGTGAAACGAGTTGGTGGATTAACGAGCAACAGGGCAGAGCTCTGGAGATGGAAAGAGATGCCCAAGTGCTGCAGCCACAGTAAAAAAAAAAACCCAAAACACCCAAGTGGCACTAACTCCATGGATAGCCTCTGCAGAAAGGCCGCGGGGGGTTGTCTACACTACACCGGGCTTGCAGGGGTAGAGGAAGCAGCTGAGCCAAAGCAGCGCGGAGCCCTGCCCAGCCTGGGTGGAGTCCGAAGCGATCACAACTAGACGGCTTCTGGCTCCCAATCTGGTTTACATCTCCAGGCAGCATTGTGCAATGCAGACATACCCGGAGTTACCTCTTTGTCTCTAACACAGTCCACTCCAGGGCACAATTGCAACACTGGAGGGGCAGCGTGGGAGCAGCTAGTTCCCCATCTCCCAGAGTCCCGGCGCTCTGAGGAGAAAGGGCGTCGCTCCGTCCGGCTGCGAACTGCAGCTCTCTTTCCTCCACCGTGCAATTCGGTCCTTCCAGGCGCTGCATCTACACCTGTATCAGCTTCTGGCAGCAGAAGCCCAGCTCTATCGTGAGATCTGACCCCGAAACAAAAACCAAAACAGAATCCTAAGCACAAGCTGAACTTTGCGTTTGCAAGGGACAACTTCACGTTTGCAAGTCCCTCCACTGATATCAGCAGGCTTACTCAGATGCTCAGCTGGAATAAATTTTGATTGCTACCACTGCAAGGGAACATTTAACTGGACTCAAAAGACAGTTCCTGCTGGGATTAAAAAGAAAAATACATGGAAAGCTCCAAGTTTTTTTTTTTTTAAGCATATTTTTCATAACAGAAAACCCACAACTACCCAGTTAGCATGAACTTAAGAGGAGGTAAAATATGCTCGAGGTCTTTAACCCTTGTAAAAAAAAAATTAAAAACCATAAAAATAAATAAAAATCAACTACCCTCACAACCAAGTTTGGAGCAAAAGAAAACAGGGCAGGAAAGGATCGTGGATGTCTCCATTGACACAAGAGCTCATCTTGGAGCAGTGAATACATGTAAAGGATGTGGTTCCTTTCCACAGAGACATTATAGATTCAAAATTTAATTACAAATTTGATCCAGATAGGGATTATCCTGCTTCAGGCAGGGGGGTGGATTGGGAGGTCCCTTCCAGGCTACTTCTCCATGATAACTTGTTGGGCACCAAGAAAATGCAGCGCTCCTCTCCAAGTGGCACCGTGGCCCCTCTCGCATAAAAGGTAATGCACTAAAAACTCAAACTTATAGTTATTTGAGCCCACAAAGCCCGACAAGGACCTGGCCAACCCCAACACCTCTGACACCCCAGCTCAGGACCCCCCAGTTTATGAAAGAGAGAGTCTCATAAGATCACGACTGCAAGAGCGAGAGCTCGAACCACAAAACGTGCCAGAAGCCATGAGAGGTGTCGGCAAGGCTGGAGAGCAACCCCTGCTCACAAGGATGCAGAACAAGGAGGAAAAAAAGCACGGGCACCGAGCGCGGATGGACAGCTCTACCCCGAGGGTTTGCAAGTCACCACTTTTGCAACGCCACGCTCGACGCGCCAGATGTGACCGAACCCTGCTGGGGTTTGATGGAGCCGAGCTGGAAGGATGAACTCGCTCTTGCTTCCAGGCAAACTTTGCTGCGGTCTGCCGAATTGGTCATGCTCCTACATGAGAGCTGGCAATCCACATACACACTCTTACTCTCAACTCTCATACTGGAGGCCAGGTCAGACTGGTGCAGACTGGGGGGGTGGGTTGCCTTCCTTTGAGACCCCTTAAGTGCATATTAACCAACCTTTACAGAAGCAGGATGTTGTCTGCTGTGGTTCCCCTGCTTCACATGTTGCAGGTTCAGGTTTGATGTCTTGCATTAGGGTTGATGGTCGTTTTACAAAGAGGTTAGGTGTCTGGGAGGGTTTCCACAGGGCTGATGTCTTGTGTTGGGGTTGATAGTCATTTTACAAAGAGGTTAGGTGTCTGGGAGGGTTTGCATGAGGCTGATCCTGCCTCAGGCAGGGACCTCTGGAGGTCCCTTCCAGCCCCACATCTCTATGATTATAACCCAGGGGACATATTTTGGGAAAAAGCATTTTAGACACTTAAGGCATGTTGTTTTTTGTAAACCACTACCAAGAAGTAACCCAGATAAATTCCTCCTCCGTGATGCATTGCATTGCCCACGGGTCCCTGCAATCTCCTAGCAGCCCGACAACCTGCTTCCTAATTCTCCCCCCTGCAGCCGCCTTACCGTCCACGTGGCCGACTTGGCTGTGCTGGACTGTTGAAATGATACGTCGAAGCTGTGAGGTCCCGGGTAGTCTGTGTTGGAGGGGATGGCCGGGGAAGGCGAGAGCGCGTCGAAGGTGGAGCTGGGCTGGGCGTAAGGCGAGGGCGCCGTGACGCTGTTCTGAGCGTGCTCCGTGTTGTAGGGGCTGGTGGAGGAAGAGCCATTTTGAATCTGCTGGTCCATGCTGTTCAGGAGCCCCAGGTTCGTGTACTGCGGCTGCGGAGGGAAGCAAAGCATTTGCGTAAGCACGTGCTCGGAAGTGCTCATCAGGCTCATGCAGGCGCCAGTTCGGCATTCCTGCCAGCCCTCTCAGTTTAGGATCTGAGAACAACCTTACCAACATTTGCTAGCAAGTGAAACCCCTCTCCCCTTTGCAGCATTCAACCCATTTTACAGATGAGCACAATCGGGGGGGAGCCAAAGTCATGATGCACGATGGGTCAGCTCTGAACCGACAACCCCGTGCCGCAGGTTGGAGTCATACCACCAATAACCCTGTACAGACCCCTCAACCCTCCGCTTGCTAATGAAGGGACACCGTGTACCCCCCCCCACACAGATCCTCAGCTAATTCAGCAAGGAACGACGCTGTCCCCCATTAGGGCTCTGCAACACGTGACCAAACGGTCGTGACACGATGCATCACATTATCCCCCCATCTCATCAATCCCACGGGCCCCAGCAGAAACGCATCAGGGCTGTTTTCACATCGCAGGTCGACGTGGAAAGCTTCCCTCCCCATGGGTGCATCCCCTAGCACATTGCAGGTGCACCAGGCAGGCCCCACTGCCCCGAGCAGCACGCAAAGGCAGCCTGTGCAAAGTAGGTGGTGGCGAGGAGGAAACGCCAGCAAGGGAGGGCGGACTCATGGCAGGGCACGGTTACACGGTTCACTTATCTTTACAAGCCTATCTTGTTTGCATCTGTAATGAAAGACAGGAAGCTGCTGCTAGCTCTGGGTCCAGGAAAAAATAAAAAAGAAAGAAAGAAAGAAAATCAAAGGGCACCTCTGGACACAGCCAAGGTGGGCACGCAGGCAGCGGTACCCACAGAGGAGAGACAAGGTCCAGGCGTTTCCTCATTCCCTGCAAGCACCTGTGTTTCAACGGCCCAGAGAGCGGAAGCAGGGTGCATCTCACCCCCACCCACCACATGCGTTGCATACGGGCTACGAGAGCTCCCCACCTCCTTCCCTTTCAGAAAGCTCCCTTATTCTGAACAGCTTGCCAAGGCTATGCTGTGCACAAAAAGGGCAGCTCCTGAAACCGAAACACCGGCTGGTTCCAGATAGCAAGGTGTATAATTAAAACGATCAGCAGATCCTATAAGACATTGCATAAGTGTTCAAGACCCCAACCTAGCACGCTGCGGGCTGTGCATCGCGGATGCTTTGGGGAGCAGGGTCTTCTCAAGCTCCCGGCTGGCATTGCTTAGGACGGTGTTCCCAGGAAAGAAAAATGGCAGTCCGCCTGCCAGGCTAACGAGCCCGCTGCTCGTTAGCTTTTGGGTTCATTTGAAACACTCCTGCTAGGCTGTCTTGAGCACACAGCACCCGAGTCAGCACAGCACAGTGGACAAGACACCGGGTTATAACGGAGCTCTTTCGAGCCCTACGCCGCGGCTTTGCTAGCGACCTGCTGATACCCCGGGCAAGTCACTTAGCCCTTCTGCATTGCTGCTTCCACATGCAAGTGCTTCGTGGCAAAACCTGCCACCACTCTTCTTGCTTAGCTTATTACTTTGGGCTGCAACTCAACGATGCCTTGCCTTCTAATCTTGGATGAACCAAGGATGCCCTTCCTTGCCCTGGGTTGCTTTTCCCTCCCTGCCTCAGTTTCCCCTTAAACTAAATGGATTTCAGCAGG